TAGACCAAACAGCAGAGCAGTAATACATTTTGCTAAAAATCAGGGAATTTATAATAAGAATTAATGTTTTTCTGTCAAAGATATGTTTAACTCTGCTATACATGAATATATACAATACAATTTTGGCAAAAGCCAAAGTAACTTTCTAATAATGTTTATAGGGAACAGGCAACTTATATATGAATATATATAATAATATGTCTATCTATTCAAAGTGTAGGAAGTCATAATGCTCCTGGGCATTGATTAAAATGGGTGGATTCAACGCTTTCACAATCTGATTCTAAAATAGGATATTTTGTCTTCTTCTTTTGTCTTTGTCATCTTTGGTTGCAGTAACATGTTACATTGGAAATTATTATTAAAAATCGACATGAATGATGTCACCTTTACTTGGTCAACCAATATACTATGACGTCATTATAAAATCAGTATCGGCACATTGAACTATAAGTATCAGCATCTGGCAAAATTGTGGCATGAATAATCAGTAATCGATAATTTCCGATTGTTACAGAATCGGCCAATCAATAAATTTCTGCTTTCTTTTGGCTTGTCGTTGCGCAGCAGTGAGTGGAATTAAGTGGCATTATATTTACAATTCAACCAGAAAATAACAGAAATTGTAAAATTTAGCATATTTTCAAGCTCGAAACTGGTCAGCAGTAATGCTGGTTGGAGGTATATACTTCATGTACTACCAGTGATACTAATTTCTTTTTTAAATACAAGAAAATTTGTATTGATAAAGAAGATCTTTACCCACGTTTGAATGTGATGGACGTTACATGTGACGGATGTTACATAATTTAATGATTAATTGTTGTGCTTGTGTGTAGCATTTTTGAATTTTTATCAGTTTTTCATACTTGTTCATACATAAAGTAACAAATAAGTTGTACTTCATCAATTCAAAACACTACCCTTGCGGCAGAAATAAACTTTGGTAGTTTTTTTTGTGATGGATGTTACATGAAATTTGGAATGTCATAATTAAACTAAATAATTATCATTTAATTATTTTTTTAACCAAAAAACCCCACTTTTTCATGCAGATACATACGTAATGTTGCTGTATTAAGTATATAACTGCTGGGTAGCCCTAATACATAACATAGGCCAGGCTTGAAAAATCTGTTATGATTGGTACTCGTCTCCAAAACTACTGATAAAAGGTCTCTACTATCGGACCCCTAAAAACTCATACTAATTCATATTTTCATGGATTCTGCACAATTTATGTTATTTAGGTCTATTTTCCACCATAATCACTAAACATTTCCATAAAATTAACAAGAAAAAAAATTAATGTTACCAACTCTACCGTGGATTTGCCCATCAATGGATAAGGCGAATGATTTACCAAATGTTAATGGTTTTCTTTTTTTAAAGCCAAAGCTGGGTTTTATTGCTATTAACATCATGATAAAAATGAAAATGAGTTTTACCATCAATGAATGATATGGATGGGTTGGTTCTATATTTCATGGTAATTTAATAGTTTTTACCATAAATTATGAGAATGGGTTTAATTTTATTTAATTGTTAATTGCTATGAATAATAATGCGAATCCCCTGCACCCCCTCCCCCCTCACCACCCCACGGTAGATCTGCTCCTGGCATAGAGCGTCTTGTTTGGTGTAAGGCAAAGCAAATTAATAAACATATTGTTTTCTAGTGGTGGTTTGACCAATCATCTGTTCGTATGTTCTCTGCCAGATACCAAAGCGAACCCTGTGAACATTAACAAAGTTCTTCTTCGTCTCTATGGAGCTTTCTACAGTGACATGTCTGATAGTACTGTCAGGATGATGGAAGAATGTATTATATGTGGCCTGTTGGCAGAGAAAAATATGGGTCCTGATCTTTATGGAATATTTCCTGAGGGTAGGCTGGAGCAGTTTATACCTGATGTGAGTATTTTAAAA